ATGTATGTGATTTTTTCAATTTTTTTCGTTTTTCCCGCCTAAATGAATTATTCGATTTTGTAATAGATTTATGAAAATTGGATTGAGATTATTCTTCTTGTTTTTTCGCCTATTCTTACTCCCTTTGTTTAGGCTTATATTTGTTACCTTTTTTTTACATCCGATTTTTTATTTGACACGTTTTATTTATCTTGCTTTTCATTTTTTTTTATCTATTACTATAAAATAGAGTTAAAAAATACAAGTTCGGTAAACTTTTTCCTGCTCAATTATTTCGATAATTATCTTTTGTGGAAATTTTTTTGAATTTATTTCACAAATCCCGCCTAAAGTTTTTGATTTGATGTTGAATAGGAAAAAACAAAATTCAGATTATTATTACACACCTTTTTTAACACCTTTTTTTTTTTAGGAATAGATTTGGTTATTTCTCCCTATTTTAACTCCTTCCTTTTATGAAGAGATTTGGTTAATTTTTTTTGTGAAATTCGTTTTTTACTATTTGACAAATTATTATAGGATATGTTTTGAAAAGATTCCTTTATTAAATAAACACTTCCATATGTTTTGACTTCCTATTTTTTAGGTTAGGATTTGGTATATATTTATTGGTTAAATCTGATTTTTAGTATAAGCCTAACTAAATATATTTCTTTTTTTAGGATGTGATTCAGGAAACAATTCATAAAAATATGGATTCTTTAAAATATGATATATTATCTTCTACATAACCGATTTCTTTTGGATACATTTGAAAATAATTTCCATTGTTTTAAAAAGATAATGTAGGATATGTTTTGAAAAAAATTCCTTTATTAAAGAAACAATTCCATAACATATTCGATTTTAATATTTTGTATATGCAAATAATTATTTCAAAATTTTGCTTATTTAAAACAATTCAAATTAATATTGGATATGTTTTGAAAAGATTCTTTTATTAAAGAAACAATTCCATAACATATTCAATTTTAATATTTTGTATGCAAATAATTATTTCAAAATTTTGCTTATTTAAAACAATTGAACTTAATATTGGATATTGTAGATCACATCTATTATTTGCTTACTATATATTTAAAATCTAAAATAGGTTGGATTGGGTTTAAGGTGATAAGCACGACCTTTTTTGGATATTGTAGATCACATCCAGCCATTAGGCTTTAGTCATTGCAGTAAGAATTGTAGCTTATTAATTAATCCAGGCATTAAGTTTTAGTCATTGCCGTAAGAATTGTAGCTTGAGATAAGCTTAGTGCAACTTGCACCGTGACACACCTACTTGCTTAGGCCACATGGCATAATGCAACTTGCACCGTCACACACCTACTTGCATCAAGTCTTTGTTCAAAGCAAAAAGTATACTATTTTAGGTATAAAATCTGATTTCATTTGATAAGCTCAATCAAATTTGATTATGACCGAATCAAACAATTTTGAACAATATTAAATTAATCGATTACTATTGAATTAATTTTTTTGATTTTCACGTCGAAATTTATCTAAATTTTTTTTTTTTTTTGTGAAAAAATATCGGCTGGATGAAAAGGTCAAATTCAAATTAAAAAAATTGTTATTTTGAAAAATATATTTTGTAAACTTTAAGTCATAAAAATATGGTCAATGATATCTTTAAATACAACGGGTAAATATGGTCAATAATATCATAAATTATTTTTTATATTCGAGTAGTTCAACTTAATTGATGATTTTTTTTTTCCAAAAAGTATGATGATCATATAATTAATTTTATTATATATATAATGTTTGATGTTATTAGTTTAGTTGAGGATACCCGTTATATTCAAATAAATAATATATTTTCATATTTGGTATTTCTTTTCTTACAATAATGAGATGTTAAACATAATAACTATGTTTAATATAAAGTCTTAGAAAAGGTTTTAAGTAAAAAGTCGTCTGTGCATCGCACGGGATACACACTAGTTAGGGATTTAGGGTTTAATTGATATTTTTTAGAGTAAATATTGTTGAGGGACAATATGGAAATTTTATTAATTTTGATTTTTTTTTTTATTCATGACCAAATATGTAATTTATAACAATATCTTATAAATGAATATTAAGGATAAATAAAGTGTACAATGTTTAAAATTTTTAATATGTAAAATTGTAATATATAAAATATTAAAAATAATAAATATACTTTTATAATAATAAATAATAAATACACTCCGATTGCACGATAGTACTAGAAAATTGCACTTCAACGACTATCAAGTTGCACCATAATGTTAGACGAATTGCACCTAATAATCGAAACTGCATGTAAATAAATATTAATAATAAATAACGTGTACAATGTTTAAAACTTTTAATATGTAAAATTGTAATATATATATAAAATATTAAAACTAATAAATATACTTTTATAATAATAAATAATAAATACAATTCGATTGCCTGGTAGTGTTAGACGAATTGCACTTCAACGACTGCCAAGTTGTACCATAACGTTAGACGAATTGCACATAATGATCGAAACTGAATGAAATCTTATATTTCGTTACAAAATCTTATATTTCAGCTCGATTATTTATTTTCATTTGTAAGAATATAAATTATGTCAGTTCAATATAAACATTATTTAAAAAAAAAACCAAAATAATCAAACCGACTAACTATGTAAAAAATAAATATTTATATATTTCTATATACAAATATTATTTATTTTCATGTAGAAATTATATTAAATATAAATATTAAAAATACTAAATATATATTTTTTTTATAATTTGAATATTAAATCATTTGTAAGATTTATAATATTTCAGTTATCGATTATTTAAATTTAATTTTAGTTTGGGTTAGAACATATTATTAAAAATGCATGCGCTGCAAGTGCACCATACTGTTGGATGAATTGCACATTAGTGAATATCGAATTGAACTTAATCGACTGAATTAATTTTTTCAGTTTGAAATTTTACGTTTCGGTTCGATAATTTGTGTTTACTTCTAAAATCACGATTATTTCAGTTTGAGGTCGACATTTATTATTTTTTTCAAATAACTGAAAAAAAAAAACCAAACCTACTCAACTACATGAAAAATATAATTATTAATATTTTTTTGTATTTATGTGTTACAACTGCACAATGATATTATACAAATTGCACGTCAATGTCTATCATATTGCACTAGCCGCCGAAACCAATCGAACTAGAATTTTTGGTTCGAAAATTTTATATTCCGATTCAATTAAATTTTAGTTACTTTTATATAAAAGTTTTTTATTCAATTATACTTTCATTTAATCTATAATATGCAATTATTAAATAATAGTTGACACTTCCGTTATCATTATTGTGTTAATATACTTTTCTTAAATTATAGATTTTATCCGTTACTAAATTGAAATTTAATAAAAACTAAACAAGAGGGCATCTCCTCCAATCATGCCAGCCGAGTGGTAAGGAAAAGTCACGTATAAAGCTTTGGATGGAAAGCTAGAATATTGGATCAGGTTTATAAATTTTACCCATTACTAAATAGAAATTTAATAAAAACCCTAGAATTGCAATTAAACCCCTTACGTTTATCAAATTCCCAAATACATGCCCCTAAAATCTTGAAAC